TGAAATTTGAGGTTGATTTTGTTGATGGCGATGTACTGCTGGACGGTACAGTGATGGGAGTAAACCAGGTGAAGTCCTTCACCAAGTCCGCCCAGAATCGGTCTTTTGTGGAGAAGCTTTCTGAGAAGCCATTGCATCGTGTTTACATGCAGTGTGTTGATCAGAATAGCAATCCCACCGACTCCTTTGCCTGGATGGTCGGCTGGTCTTAAATGTGAAACTGAGGGCTTCCTTTTTGCTGCTCAGGACCAGTTACTTCCCACTCGCAATCGCCTAAATGGGATCCTTAAAGAAAATATCAATATGAAATGTCAACTTTGTAATGAATTCACAGAGACTGTCCAACACCTTGTCAGTGGATGCCCTTCCTTGGCACAAACAGCATATCTTAAACAACATGATGGCATGGCTCATTGCTTTTACTACCGTCTCCGACATGCCTGTGGCTTTGACTCCGAGGTCCATCCATGGTACGACCCTGAACATGTCCAGGGCGTCGTGGAAAATGATGCTTTCAAACTTCTCTGGAATAGGCCCATATACAGCCTCAGAAGAATTCCAGCCAACAAACCTGATCTTGTCCTTTTTGATAAAGCCAATGAATTTATTTATATCATTGAATTTTCTGTCCCTTTTGACACCAATGCGATTGGCAAAATTCAGGAAAAGCATGATTATAATGCGGATCTCGCTTTTGAAATGTCTCGCTTGCATCCCAAGTACACTGTCGCCAGGCTCCCCATTGTTCTTGGTGCCCTTGGTTTGGTACCTCCTGATCTCTTGGCGCAGACCAGGAGAGTCCCCGGGTTCTCCACCGGTAGTACAGCCCTTCTGACACTCTGTGTAATGCAGAAGGCTGCAGTGTTGGGGAGCCTTCATATTCTCCGGAAAGTTCTTGGTGGGTTCGACTAGGCAGCGTTTCCTGGGAGAAGTCCCATTCGCTGTCTTGGCTGCGTGTAGAGGGGGCAAGGGCCCTGAGCTGATGATGAGCCTTACCAGCCTGACTGTGCCAGGATTACCCGAACCCTCTCTGCTGCATACTATCTTTAATCTGTAAAACAGAATAATAAAATAACAGAGAAATACACACCGTCCATCAAGAATGTCGGTGGAACGATGGAGCGTCACCCCGTTGATGATAGCGGCTGCCAGCCCTGTTGTGGCCGTAGTCCTTACTCGTTTCGCTTTCCTCGATAATTGCCCTCTTATCTGACGCAACAAAAGTGGTCCTGCCTGTGCCCGCTTGGCCCAAAATCAATAGCTTATGGCCATCGATGGCCCCTCTCACTGCCACGTTTGTTTGTTGTTTTTCCCACAGGGGCGTGTCACGCTTAGAAACAGCGTTAGAAAGACATATAGGTATATAGACCCTACCCTAGTACTATACAAAAGGAAAGGGATGTAACGACTGAACCCACCCCTCCTCAATCCAATTTACACTTAAATGTCAAGGCCATCTATGGCCGACAAGTGAGTATGATTGCCGATGGTTTTGGAGAAAATGCCTGCTTACTGTCGAGGAAATGATTTGTAGATGTTGCAATAAGTTCTTGGACCCGTGGAATGCCGCTGCCGATCGAATCTAGCCCTACATAGGTGCTGTCAACGTGGCTGGAATTAATAAACGAATTTAAAATGTGAGTTTTCGCTGTCTTGGGTGATCCATGATTTTGGCTTGGAATTGTGGAGGTTGCTGTTTTCGGTGAGTCGTGGCGTATAACTTTTGAAATAATGATCCGATTGTAACCATTTATAGCTCATTTTGTAGGGAAATTATCTTGCTTTTGATCCGTAGGCCTCGATGGGGCCTTAAAAGTAGTTTACGTGGTGAAATCTTACTTGGATTGAGGAGGGGGTGGTTCCGTCGTTACATCCCTTTCCTTTTATATAGTACTAGGGTAGGGTCTATATACCTATATGTCTTTCTAACGCTGTTTCTAAGCGTGACACGCCACTGTGGTTTTTCCCCACACACGTGGACATCGACCAATACGATGAGCAGAATGCCGAAAGAATAATCTACAAGCTCAACACATTGTTTTGTGAAAAAACGTAAGGCTTGATAGAACGCACGTTAACATAGTCTGGCTGTCCGGTTTACGAGCAGGTGTTTAGGATCGAGAGTGTCAGCCCATGTGTATTATATGTAAGTGTATCGGGAGAATTTTCTGAAAAATCTATTTCTTCAAGGATTTCCTTCAAATTTGAAATATAAGTTACCCATAATATATAAAAACAATATACGGTTGCAAAAATGTAGATTTTTATTTTAGAAAATATCGTCCAAACAGCGATTCGAACCCCTCTGGATGCACACACGTCATCGAACTCTTCTCGCAGATACATCTCTGTAGCCAGGTATGGTACGGACTGCAAATGGTGCTGGCTAGATCCTGACTCCATCAGTCTTTGCGTGGGGTCTTCATTAGTTAGCGGCCACTACCGGGACGGTTTATAACGTGATTATTTTACTGTAAAGGTTCACATGCTACCTAGATATTACATCGAGGAGCAAGGTGCGAGGTACCAGTTTCATGTGTACCTCCTCATTTTCCCTGAGGCGTGTAATTGGACATAGAAATATGATGGACATTTAAAATTGGGAGTTGGACAAGTGTAGATGCAACTCGAAATGGGAAACATTGATCTGTTCTTATTGGAATTTAAGCAACGCCTGAAAGATAATATAATTCAGGACTTGCATTCATCCCTACATGACAACTCAAAATGTTGCAACTACAAGCTGTTTATATCTCACCTTGATGATGAAAGGTACCTTACATGTGACATCCAACCTTATCCTATCAAGTATATAGAATCTGGTCGTCATAGAAATGTACCACACACTCAAAGATTAAGTGAAATGTGCACAACTAATAATGCAAAGTTCATCGAAGTTGAATGCTATGTGTCTTGCCAAGTATCATCATCTACGAAAAACATATACTAAGCAGCAAAAGAAACGTCATATCGGTATTTTCCTTCGCAGAAACGGATAACTGTAAACTCATTTAATTTGTTTATTGTTTATCTTTGACAACATCTCCAACTTTACCTGAGCAAAGGCATACCTTCCCAAACTCAGAATGGAACCCAGGAAATGATCTCAAAAACGCAACCTGATCTCGGAGATGGGACGGTGTTCTCCATGTTTTTCATGCGACTCATGCTGCACGTGCTGTTCACACGGACCAGCCCAAGAAAATGCACTCCCAAACCTGGTTGAAACATTCACATTACAACGTCACCGGGATGCCGCGACTTACGACAGCTCAGAGGAACCAGGTGCTAGGAAGACTTGAAGCTGGCCACACTGCACAAGCCGTTGCCAATCACGTCCAGGTCAACGTTCGGACCATCTACAGGCTGCAGCAACGTTTCCGGGCCACCAACACGACAAATGATCGCTCCCGTACTGGCAGACCAAGGGTGACCACAAGACGACAAGACCGCCATGTTGTGCGACAGCATGTACAGAATCCCTTCATGCAGGTATCCGAAACAGCACGCCAGACAGTGGGAACACACGGAAGACCAATCAGCACTGATACAGTACGCCGACGTCTTAACAGTGGGAACCTTCATTGCCACAGACCTTACCATGGACCTATCCTCACCCCTCGTCATCGGCGTGATCGTCTACAGTTTGCCCTACAACACCAAAACTGTCGATACAGGCAATGGAGAACTGTTCTGTTCACAGATGAGAGTCGGTACTGCGTATCGACTGCAGATGGCCGAACAAGAATATGGCGACGACGTGGCCAGCGTTACTCAGACCAATATGTTATGGAAAGAGACTCATGGGGGAGGTGCAAGCATCAATGTATGGGCTGGAATAGGCCTGTACCAGAGAGTGGGTCCTGTGGTGTTGCAGAAGCTTGGTCGAAGGAGAGGAGACGGTATCACAGCGGTGCGCTACACCGACCAAGCTCTCAGACCCCACGTCATACCACATTTCGAAGGTCATCGGAACATCATTTAAAGCATGATAACGCCCGGGGCCCATGCTGCCAGAGCTACACGGGACTTCCTAAGGCAGAACGGTGTCAACATTAATGCAGTGGCCAGCTCTTAGTCTCGATTTAAACCCAATTGAACATCTTTGGGATGAAATTCAGAGGAGACTTGATAATGTCATACCAAGGCCGAACACAGCCGAATTATTGCGCCAGGCCTTTCTCAGAGTGTGGTGCTAGGTGCCAATGGCCTTCATCAATCGAATGGTGCACTCCATGCATAGACGCTGTGCTGCAGTTATTGCCACTTGTGGTGGTCACACTAGACTGAAGTCAAGGGTCTGAATGGACTGCAAACGTTCACGTAATGTCTTGGAATTGTGCTGAGTTATTCATTGATGTGTCAGGATATTGTACACACAAAATTTTTTTTGATCCGCTTATTATGTCCATTTCTGTAATGATTTGATTACAGTGCCTATCTAATTTTGAATTCGTACTGACGTGTTTTGCTGCTGAGTATATATCAGCCAATATTTCTTTGCAAATCCAACTTTGCTTAAATTCGCTCAGCTCATGCAATCCACTGATAACAAAACAATCCAGGCTACAGCTGTGTTCAATGCACGTCGTGTAACCTCATGAACTTTAAAACCTAAATTAATGCATGCAATATGCATGTCAATAAATTTCAAAACTGTATTTTTGGCCCAAAGCCTTATAATGTAATAAATCTGCCTCTCTGTCTTCTGAAATGTTGTTTTTTCTTACTTCTTCATTTCTGAAGACTGCATTGAGTAGACATATTACGTATCTGGTTATCTTACCTTTAAAAGTGAACTTTAATGGCGATTCTTCTCGAATATCTCATGTGTCATTCAAACAATAACTGCTTGGTAGTGTTTCTAGTTACACATACTGTTTCTCTGGTTAAAAACTGACAAATGCACACACATTATAACCAATGATAAAATTAACTGACACAATATATTTTGCCTCTGAGTATATTGAAATATTATATCTGGTTTCATTATTTAACAGTTTCAAGCATCCACTGTGGTGACGTATGTTCTGCAGTTGATGGATCCAGTTACACCCTCACCTGCAAATGGAGTGGAACATTAGGACATGGTATTATATGGAAGAGGAAGGGAACGACAGAATTTTCATGTGGAAATACTTCCGAAAGCTGTGCTCCAGGAGAAAGTGGCTATGCAACTGGGGGCTACGTTGATTCGCAAACCTCACAAATACACATCGCATCGTTCAGCAATGCAGATGATGTTGGAAACTGGCAATGTAGTGATGGACCAGACACACCGAAATCCTGTATACTGACTCCAATAGGTAAGTATTAGCAAATCAAACGAACTAAACAATTAATGATACATATACTGAATGAAGAATGAAGAATATATATTTGTTTAAAGAAACCCAACTGTTTGACGTTTTTGTTTTGTTTGCAGATAAAAGAAATATCAAGCTGGAGGCATCGTGTTCAACCAAAACTGTGACTTGTAAATTAGATGACCATGGGACACCCGCAATAACACTTGAATTGAGGGTTTGGGTGTTAAATTATACTTTACTGTAGGTTTACTCAATCTGCCATGTACAGCCAATCGCTTCTGTACAAAAGCAATGCGTTTCTATAGGCAAACGTTATCAGACACCTTCGAAAAGAGCTACTGACAACCAATTGAAATATCTCAATTAGTCGTTAGATACATATAATGTTGAAAGTATGGGGAAAATCTCTGTTCATATTTAAACGACTGTAGCTGGTAGATTGAGCACCACTAGAAAGTCTTATGAGCACAGGGCATGTTGAATCACATTTTACGTCAGGTAGGGCTAGATATAGTACACAGATTTCATTACCGAAAAGTATGATCGGGGTAGATTTGACAGACAAGTCTTATGGCAAAATAGATGGCCAAAACCTTCAATCCAATTGGATGCTAAATGTCATTTAGCAACATGGTTGGTAAAATTTCATTTGATGCCGGTGCTGCATGTGAAGTCTGTAAGGCATCGATACTACATGTCGTGATAAAAGCATACAAAATAATTCACAAAACAACATAGATGAGTAGAAATTGCTTTGTTAAGAAAATACACTGATCTTCCCTTTCAATCAGTGAAGGTCTCTAATCATGACTGTAACTAAAGTGACATGCTCTTAATATGCCATATGTGAAAGATATTGACGTGATCAGGATGCTTATAAACTCGAATGCTAACCGCGCATTATGAAGAAGAAATCCCCAAACCAGCATTTGCATATATAAACACCTAACGCCAAACACTGCACATGGAACACGTGTTTCTGTTGACATCGGTGCAAGGTGAGGGAACTCAAGGCCCACACTTGAAAACTCAGTTAAGTCGCGGCGATGTTGTACCCGGCAATGAGAGTTCAAATTAAAAAATAGCCATCGGCTGGGCAACCAAGTGTGGTACCTCGGTGAACAAAGTGCCATATGATAGCAAGGCGACAATAGTGTTTTAGAGCGAATATAGAGCTGTATATTTCATGTGATCTGACTTCGGTCCTGTAATTCAGAGAATTACTAGCGTCAATAGTTGTGCCTTGCTTGCGCTATTATTGTTCACGTTTTGGCGTGTATGCATCTGATATATCTCCATCATATACGAGGGACGTTCAATATAATTTGCAACTTCAATATAAGACCAAGTTGTTTGTTGCACTTATATTTTTTTCATATAATCTCCATTCACCCTAATAAACTTATTTCATTTGTCCTCTAACCACGCCTCTGGGACAGCCTTTATTTCCTCGTCATCCTGGAAGAGTCTTTCAGGTTAGGCAGATTCAATTGGCTGAACAGGAAATATTCACTGGGGGCAAGATCTCGGCTGTGGGGTGGGTGATTTAACTATTTGAATCCACATTCACGCATGGCGGCCTGTGCAATTAACGACTTGTGAACCGGAGCATTGTCATGCAAAAGTAGAACACCACGTAATAACATCCCGCGGCGTTTCTAGCGGATAGATTTTCTCAAATCTTTCATTAAATTAGCATTACACTGTCCCCTGATTGTAGTTTTTGAAGACATATAATCAATCAGTAACTATGCCTCTTTCATCCCAAAATTTGGTGGCCATTCCTTTGCTAGCCGATGGTTGAGTGCGAAACTTCTTCGGCGGCGGAGAAGTGGGGTGCATCCATTGCATGGATTCCAATTGTTTCTGAATCCATGTTTAATCACCTCTCACTACACGAGAAAGAAATCCGGCTTCAGTATCAGTACAGGAGCTCTCGACAACTTTTTGTTCTCTGATGGTGACCTTGAGCTCTGGGATTTCTAGGTACCCCTCTTGCAGATATCTTGGACATACCAAGATGCTCATGATAATGGTTTCAACAGTTGCAACTGATATTTGGAATTCCTTAGAAAGTTCAGATACCTTTAGTCGTTGGTCAGTCAAAATTCATCTTTCTAAAGCGGCTATGGTTTCCGGTTGGGTGGCATCTGAAGAAATGTCAAACCTTGGGTCATCGACTGTGGACTCCCTACCCCTTTTAAACTGTAGACAAACTATTGTTGTGTCTGGAACCTGTTATGACTAGTGTCAGAAATGGTACAACTTGATATCATTTGTATACACACATGTCCAAGTTGCAAAGCTTTTTGAACCCCCCATTCGTAAAAAAATCCACTTGAATGCATTGTACATCCATGCGTTTTGATCTTTGCCCCTTAAATGGCATTATCGGGAGACATGTGCGTCAAGGTGCAAACACTACATTAGCCTAATTAAGTGAGTTGACTATACTATGATTGATATGATTATGATTGTCATGATGTTCCTCTCTTTACTAGTTATCTATATTTTATTCTAAGGTATCGCAACGATTTTGAGTTGTTTCACATGTGCATAGAATGACACCTTATTCAGATGGGAGTTCCATGAATCTGCTTTGCAACTAAATCATAAATATCATTCCAGGATGAAACAGTAAAAGCGTCAACCCCCTCTGCAGGCATTTTGACAATGTCAGCTAGTAGTGGTATGAAGACTTGTACAGTAACAGGAAACGGATCTGAATGTGCATCAACGAAAGAAATGACTGTGATGTGTTATGGTAATATTACATATCGATGGATCACAAAGCGCATTCATTAGGGTTTAGATAATTGAACTTATGTTTTTCAATGTTTTAGTGTCGTTATGATGAAAATACTTATATATTTTTTCAATTATTTTCACAATAGTCCATTATCAATCGAGGATTCAACTACATACAACTGACTAAATGATCTTGACAAGTTGCGAGAACTAACTTTAAATCTTTGTTGCAAAACGCGTTGCTATATGATGTAAGTATGACTAGCAGCACTGGTACTTCTTGTTTTTGTGAATCTCATACTAACTTCTTAACTTCTTAATTTTACTGAAAAGACTTGCATGTTGCTAAGTTGACTTTATCTTTGTTTTGGAGACACGGTAATATTGTTTTTAATGTTTCCTCAATCTGTGATATATGTAACATATGTTGTTTTTCATGAAGGTACTGGACCACCGATTGCTGCTATTGTTATGATTATTATTTGCGTCATAATTGTGATCGTACTTCTCGTCCTCGTCAAGAATGGTATGTTATTGTACAATACTTAGAAAATTGTGAAATCATTTAATTAACGCTGTCCAGGGAAAAAATATTTAGAAATTCAGTACAACCTGTTTGACTTCAATGACTTTCAGTTTTGTCCTGTATACGAGATAATAAATGGAAAAATATTTACCTACAAAACGCATAATTTACTCCCTGTAGAATTATATTTCAGGATCGAGTCAGATGAAACTCTTCTTCTATGCATTCGAAGTCATCTTAATAATCATTGCTGTGGTGTTCATCATTGTTCTGTTCGCGCTCTATACAGGTATGCATATCTTATATACTATCCACAAAAAGAAACGCATAGACATTTTGTATTTTTCAAAATCTATTAATTATTAATTGTGTTCAAACAATAGTCAAAATATGTAACAAAAGTGTTGATAACATGATTTTACACAACTGCACAAGTGAAAATCGACATTAACTTAAAATGCTGATTTTGATGAGATTTCTTACATGGATTAAGAAGACATCTCCACAACGCAACTGAAATCACCTTCCAGTTGAAATTGTGCGGCAAAGAGCATACACTGTCTGGTTATAAAAATCCAGATTACTTTCGGAAATCGACATTCGTTTTGAAGGAGTTTCAAGGTCAAATCACTACACTACGTCTTGATGCTGCGACACGAATCATCGCCATTGAAAGAATACACGCTAGAGATTACCAATCTTCTGTTGACATGCGTCTGAATGTTAGTCTGAGCACGATATCACGGCTTGCAGCTCGTTACAACCAAACAGGTTTAACAAATGACCGTCCACGTACAGGCAGACCGGGAGTAACCACTGCAGCCCAAGATCGATACATCCGGGTACTATATTTGCTTGATCGTACTGCCACGGGTGAGAGCACAGCATCCTTCGGAGGATATCCGGCAAACTGTGCGGAACAGGTTGAAGGAGATTGGACTGAGAGCAAGGAGACCCGACGTCGGGACCGTGCTACGTCGTAACCATCGCGCTCAAAGTTTCCGTTATCTAAAATCATCCACTTGGTTGTATAGTCATTTCCTTCTCCTAAACTGACGTACAAATTCGGGTACTAAACCCTATTTGAGGACGAGTTATACATGTTTGACAATACAACATTTTCGCAACAGATATCTGGGTTATGCGTTTCTTTTTTTGAAAAGTATAGTTGTTCCAGCAATGTCATATAAAAAATACATCCAACTGTAGTGTACTAACTATATAAACATACCACTGGTATATTACTCAATATTTGCTACAGGTCACGGTCTGATGGCTGAGATCTAACAAATACATATTGAAATATCCGGTTACACATTGTATGTAACTGTAGGGTAGCGTAGTTGTTAAAGCGTTATTGTTTTATCCTTGCATGTCTCATAAGAAGGTGTTCATCATATGCATATTTAATAGCTTCTCTACCAGTGACATAAATCTAGGTTATTGTATTATAAAACAATATATTACTGAAAGCGTGAATCATTGCAACAAGTACTAATAGCGGTATTGGGAATACACTGGCTCTAAATTCCATTATCAATTATGTCTATTACTGTGATAAGTGCTGCTATAATTTTTTTACCAAACAATCGTTTTATTTTTGTCACAATAGATACGTTTCATTCTATGTTTTTCTGGCAATTTCAGATTTTGATGACGCCCTCTTCATTGTAGCTGTAGTCATCGTCTTTGCCGGACTGATTGTCGCAATCGCTGCATTCATCATTCTTAAGCTTTTACAGTAGGGTACTTTGTCTCTCAGAAACACGTCAGAATGATCCTCGCTTCCTGTTGCAGAACTACATGCCACTGAAACTTATAACGTTATAAACCAAATCGGGGATAGCTTCATGTGGTTTGCGTGATTATTAAGAGTTAATGTTTCTATTCATAAGTTTAAAAAATTGACTGAAAATGATTGCATATTTCGCCTGATTAAATATACATAATATTTAATAGTCACATTGAGAGGACTCAACAGACTCAAGCTGTATATATTAATAGAAGTTTGTAATTTAAATGTAATATTTAGTATTTTGGGGTAAATGTATAGTATGTTTTACTTACGCGACTTCCCGATACAATGACATTCAATTCAGTATGATCATTTTATACGCGTTTCACTGTATATACTTCACAGATACGTCATACTATTTCAGTATGTCATATAAGGCATGTTTATTGAACTGATTATCGCTAAGCCGTTTTTGTAGTTGTTTGTCCAGTGTCATTTAGTTATAAAAACAGATGAATTACCAAATATAAACTGTCACGAGCCCCCTTTGAAAAGGTCTCCATGATTTACTGATATTGTAACTGATTATATGAAAGGTAAATATTCATACTTGGACTATTTATTTTCGTGATAACATATGAGAAAAGACTGTATTCAGCTTGTATGCTTGTATGCATTGCATACTCAGATATGACTGAATAAAAGACTTATGTGTTGTTCTAGTTTTGTTGTTTAATTGCTGTTTCTAAGTAAATGTCTAATGTTTAAGGCGAAGGCAGTGAGTGCGATATACTCGCAACGTGTCCGATTGGGTACAAGGAATAATCCATGGTACCAGTAAATATGTGAGAGAGTTTGGTCAGAGGTTTCCATTCACCAAACCACCTTGACGTCCATATCACAGCGGAAATCGATGATTAAATACAATTATCGTTGGTGGGCATAGTGAAAGCATATGTATAATTACAGATTACATGATGCAGATATGCGGTTGCTATAATGTTCAAAGTATGCAACACACATAAGAAAATCAAGGAACAAAACAGAAAGTCTTTATATGATGATAATCACCGTAACACGTGGAAAAAGAACACCTTTGTAATGCAATGACGACACCTGGGATGACAGTGACAAAAATTAATTTTGTAAATTCCGTATAAGTGTGTAGACTGCAAACGTACCCGAGGGTCTAATCAACAGAATGTTCAGATATCAATCAAGTCTCAAAGTGCAGCTCTGTAAGAGAAAAGCTGCATGAGATACCTACAAAATATGTTTCATACCCTTAGTACAATACGGATACTTGTAACGCAACACATAAAACAACAGATATACGTTATGAATTCATATGAAACGTTGACTAATGAAATTGAGCAGTGTGTGACCACCAATGGACAGCAAAGGAATCAGGTCAATATTATCCGAGGTGCATACAAGGATCTCATCGATGGCCAAGCGTGAGCAGTTCTCGCTACAAAGTGTCATCTGTATTTTTGCATCATGAACGAATTTTCGTGCTTACTGGAAATAATTGTAATCATTGTCCTGTAAGGGCACATGTAAAACCAAACATCAAACACCGAAAACCAACAGATCCACGGATTACCGCATATGCTGCTGTATTTTAGTTATCTGTCACTGACATAAGCCCTATAAATATCACACGTAAATAAACACAACACACTGTGAAAACCCAGGGTGAATATATACTATAAAGTATACTCTACATAAGTCGAGCAGAATACAAATATAGACTTAACAAAATATGGAAGAAAGTCAAACATGGTATGGTAGTTCGAACGAAAAGTCTAGACTATCCTCCGAAACAAAGATCGTTTGGTGTAAAGGGACACATATATAGCTCTGAAAATTATATGAATTAATGAATGAAAAATATGTAAAAAAGATGGAAGCATTGTTTGCCTGAGGCCGCACAGCCATACTCCTGCCATGCAACGGCGGCCAGTAAACAAACCAGACAATCAAAGACCAAACATTTCTTTTGTATTTGATCCAGCATACTTAAACATACGTCTGAGCTTATGGTGGATCTAGGGGACTGCAGTCCACTGGCAGAAACACTGACCCATTTGAATTAGATATGGAACGTCAGTCCAAAATAATACCTATATATTATTGACTATCCTCAGAAACAAAGTACGTTTGGTGTAAAAGGGACAAATAGCTGTGAAAGCTATACAAACTGATCAGTTAAAATCGGTGATGACACCATGTATTCGCCAAATTGGTATGCATGTCCTACCCGAACAGAAATCACCCAGACTTTACAAAATTTGCCCAGAAATGGAAGCGTTGATGTACCTTCAAATATGTACCTGAAGAGTGAGTGAGTGAGTGAGTGAGTTAATATTTAACGTCACATCGGCAATATTTCAGCCATATCGTGACGAGAACATTCGATATTAGAATGAAATATATGTATATTATAAAAAAAAAAAACCTGCCAACGAAGGGCAGTAAAACAACTAGAATATCACAGATATCAATATAAAACTAGCGAACAAAGCTAAAATATTCCAATTAAAGAAGACAATACAATGTAAAAATGGGCTATAGATCGCCAACAACTGAAGGTAGATCACCATACTAGGAACCATGGGGACTTACATTTCTTTTGCTACCTGCATGGACCCTAGTTGGATTTACACCATCCCTTCAGCCATTGGCGACAGAAGAGAAATCTAGCCATAAATTAAAAGCACACATATTCTACGATTAAAAACCTGGTACACTTAAATTGACTTTGAAAGTTTTGGGACTTACGTACCCCCTCAGGAGGACAATAATTTTACGCTACGTCAACCCCCTTTGAGGGTACAGCCACTAACAATCTCAGTTACTAATATAAACTACCAACAATAACATATTTAACTATTTACAAATCAGTCAACAAATCTAATTTTTTTAAAAATGCAAGAATTAAATGAGAACTGACATTATTAAAAAAGATCCTTCAGAGTTTTGGATTTGAAATAGATATCCCTTGTGATGGAATATTCAATGCAGTCAAGCAAGACATGCTTGACTGTGATCCTTTCATCACAAGGGATACAAAACGGAGGATCTTCGCCTTTCAATAAATATTCATGAGTATATCTGGTATGGCCAATGCGACATCGTCGCATAATGACCTCCTCAAATCTGGACTGACAACCCAAGAAGGTGTAACCAATGTAGGGTTTTATTGCATGTAATTTATTAATACCTACTTGGGTGTCCCACTTCTTTTGCATCAGATCGCGGATGTATGTTCTAATGCTGGCTTTATAATCAGAGTATGGGATAAGAAGTGGTGTCACAGATTTGTTGAGGGCTGCCTTAGCAGCAATATCAGCCATCGTGTTCCCAGAAATGCCAACGTGGCTGGGTAACCAACAAAAGACGATGTCGCATTGGCCAGTAGCAAGTTCATTGTACAATTCAATAATTTCTAATAAAAGTGGATGTTTGCAAGAAAGATTTTTAATAGCCTGAAGACACGAAAGAGAATCTGAAAAGATGATATATTGTTCATATTTACGGTGTTTATTAATATATTTAAGAGCTGTTAAGATGGCGTTTGCTTCTGCTGTAAATATAGAGCTGTTATCCGGTATTCTAGAAGATATTGTTCGGGATCCAATGACAGTGGCACATGCCACTGCGCCACCATCCTTGGACCCATCTGTAAATAAGGATTTGTATGTATTATATTTATTTCTTAATTGACTAAATTCTTGTTTATACTGTAATTCGTTTGTTTCTGATTTTTTAAATGTAGTTAATGTTAGATCAACTTGTGGCCTAACCAATTGCCAAGGCGGAGAAGAAAGAAGACGGGAAGGAGCTATATTTTTCAGCTCAATGCCGGCAGCAGAAATGAAGGGCTTAATTCTGTGCCAAAGAGGCGGAACAAGAGACGGTTTTTTGTTGTATAAATCCTCGTAGAGGGATTAAAGACACAGTTAAATGCAGGGTTAGACTCGCTAGAATATAGTTTAGTTATGTATTGTAAAGATAATTTGATACGACGTTGTGTTAGAGAGGGCTCATCTGCTTCAACATATACACTATCAATAGGAGAGGTTCTAAAGGATCCAAGACAAAGTCTTAGGCCTTGGTGGTGGACAGAATCAAGTAGTTTTAGGTTGCTTTTGCAGGCTCCACCATATACGATGGAGCCATAATCAAGTTTCGAGCGGACCAATGATCGATATAGGTGGAGGAGGGTAGCTTGATCCCCTCCCCACTTTGAGTTGGAAACAACTTTCAACAAATCGAGTGCCTTCAGGCATTTGGCCTTAAGCGATTTAATATGTGGCAAAAAAATTATAGTGGGAGTCGAAAATTAGACCCAAGAATTTGGCCTCCTTAACAACTTTGATGGGAGTGCCATTTAAAGATAGTTCTGGATCTTTATGCGGTTTATATTTTCTACAAAAGTGTAGACAATTAGTTTTGGACTTGGAAAACTTAAAACCGTTTTCAAGACACCATTTATTTATTTTATTTAAACACAACTGCAATTGCCGTTCAATAGTATGCATATTTTTACCACGACAAGAAATATTAAATCATCCACAAAAAAGTGATCCATCAGAGTTTTGGATTTGAAATAGATATCCCTTGTGATGGAATATTCAATGCAGTCAAGCAAGACATGCTTGACTGTGATCCTTTCATCACAAGGGATACAAAACGGAGGATCTTCGCCTTTCAATAAATATTCATGAGTATATCTGGTATGGCCAATGCGACATCGTCATATAATGACCTCCTCAAATCTGGACTGACAACCCAAGAAGGTGTAACCAATGTAGGGTTTTATTGCATGTAATTTATTAATACCTACTTAGGGTGTCCCACTTCTTTGCATCAGATCGCGGATGTATGTTCTAATGCTGGCTTTATAATCAGAGTATGGGATAAGAAGTGGTGTCACAGATTTGTTGAGGGCTGCCTTAGCAGCAATATCAGCCATCGTGTTCCCAGAAATGCCAACGTGGCTGGGTAACCAACAAAAGACGATGTCGCATTGGCCAGTAGCAAGTTCATTGTACACTTCAATAATTTCTAATAAAAGTGGATGTTTACAAGAAAGATTTTTAATAGCCTGAAGACACGAAAGAGAATCTGAAAAGATGATATATTGTTCATATTTACGGTGTTTATTAATATATTTAAGAGCTGTTAAGATGGCGTTTGCTTCTGCTGTAAATATAGAGCTGTTATCCGGTATTCTAGAAGATATTGTTCGGGATCCAATGACAGTGGCTCATGCCACTGCGCCACCATCCTTGGACCCATCTGTAAATAAGGATTTGTATGTATTATATTTATTTCTTAATTGACTAAATTCTTGTTTATACTGTAATTCGTTTGTTTCTGATTTTTTAAATGTAGTTAATCTT